AACTTTAACCACTGACTAGTACTGATGCTGTGAAGACAGGATAATATTTGGGGGCGCACATGCTCAGTGCACATCAGGGGGATTAATATTAGGACAATTAAACAAATAAATTATTTACTCACCAAGAAGCCACCCATCGCACACAGTGCCAGCTAGTAGTCTGTTCCCAACCATACTGTTACTCAGAATGTATGAATCGTGCGTTGAACCAGGCCACCTCGCCACAATGTTGGTTAATCGCATTTGCGCATCACATATGATCTGTACATTGATCGAATGAAAATGCTTCCTGTTGACATAAACAAATTCATCCTGTGATGGTGCTTTTATACTGTAGCCATGTGTGTGCAGTCGATAGCTCCGATAACGTTAGGAAAACCGGCTGTCGCTGCAAATTGCGCTTTAATGTTGGCCTGTTCAGCTGCATTGTAGGGAATTTGATATACCTGGCTGACATGCGGATAATTCCGTCCCACACAGCTGGCATGGTTCGGCTCAGGGTCGACTGGCACAGTCCCGATCGGTTGGCCAGCTCCCTCTGGAATGCCCCTGTTGCTAGGAACCCCAGTGTGGTCAGCACCTGTATGGATACAGGCAATGCATGGCTCCTCACCGTGTCGCGCTGCCAGCTGCGCACAGTTCCAGGAGGATTGGCCTCGGGAACCTAAAGCAGCTGATGAGCCAGTTGTCATCATGTGCCAGTGCCATCTGTCTCTGAACACACACTCTCTTCGTATTGTGCCATTTACAAATCTTCTAATACTGCTAAAGCAGCCGTTGTTGTTAACGGTATTTTCGGCACCACTTTGCGCATGCTCTTATATCCACTCATCTAATTGCAGACACGTGGGTGTGTTAATTGTTCATCAGTGTTAATTGTTCATGTGTCTGTGATGTGCACATCACTCTGAGGACTAATTGTTTTCACATTTATTTATTATAACAGTTTCCCAGCATCACCTCTAAGTGTCGCAAAAGGATCAACAGCTGTAGAAACGTGCGTACGCCAGCCATGAAGTTGGCGTGAGGCACCGCACATTTCCACGGTCATTTCACTCTTGATACATCTGAACTTTGCCGTGGAAAAGGACGTACGCACCCTTTGTACATGAGGCCCCAGGTCACTGTGATTATATATCCAAAAGGTCACTGTAACATCATAATGTTCAGCAAAAACACTCTTCTGTCCATTGCTCGACATAATTTCTCAGGCACAGAAGGGGAGACATTTAATCAGACACTGAATTTGTGACACTAATCTTGGACATCCATCTTAAAACTGTGCTGATTGTATAGATTTTCTGTGCATCTGTGGGGGAATTGTGTGTGAAGCACTCATGTTTTCACAGACATGGCTGTAAACTGTAATGTAACTGTAATTTGACTGGTTCGCAAAGGTTAATTTAAAGACAATTTTTAGGCATTTCTTATTATGATAGTGACTGAGAGAGACGGGGGAGAGGGAGGGCATTCAAAGGGCTGGACACGAGTCTGGGTCGCTGTTGTAAGGACTCTACCCAGTGACCTACTGGGGTGCCATTTTCTGAGAGTGCTACTCTTCAGAATGTTCCATCAACATGGTTCTTATATCCCTGGATCATAAAATATGTAAATATTCATACGCATTCATATACAGATATTATTGTTTTGAAAACATGTCTAATAACACTTGTTTACCAATTGATGGCAGTTTGAGATAGACAAACAAGTTCTGAATATAATAATATGTGACATGTTTAATTAGGACAGGGTTCCTACTGCTAAAGGCAAGTTAGATTCAAAACTTTTAAAGACAATTTTTCAATGCCACTTGGAATAAAATTTAAGATGAGCATTCCATTAATCAGAGTTGAAGAAAAAAACAACATGAGCAGATCTCAGTTACATAGGGTTAGGGACAGTTTGTCAATGTTGTAACATAAATGACTTTTCGTGTTGTCATAAATGAGGGTAGAACAAAACTGGGAAATAGCTTGCATTTGTTGATGGGTTTTCTTGGTGATTTTGTGTTCCTTACTCTGTATGTGGGATTCCACTGCCTTGATTTACATTATGCCAAGTTGGAAAATCTTTTTGCATTAAATACATCAAGCCCTGTACACAATGCCTTTAGCCAGTTCCAGCTCTGAGCATCCTGGCAGGAAAGAAAAATATCAGTGTTACGCAAGCGGTTACGTCAGTGGGAGGCCTCCACATGGGGAAGACAGACGAACGCTCGGCCAATCATTGCATTTGGTCTGAATGCAATGATTGGTCGGAGTTTTCTTAGAACCATATGCGAATGGTATAATTATGAGTTTTTATCTCTGGTGGAATTTACTTACATTTTATTGTGCCATCAGCTTATTAATTAGCCTGGAAATCCAGACCCAAATCTAGAAAGATTTAGGGTCTGGCTATGAGTAATGAAAATGGCCCAACTTGAGGGGCGGCACCAAGCATGCATTTGTAAATATCACTGCATGCAATTGGATAACACTACGACCAATCAGAACAATACACGGGGTGACGTATACGCTTAGCTACCAGTGGAGCTAACTGGTAGATTAGACTCTTGCCGTATCTGGTTGGCAAAACAGCAAAAACGTCCTTCTTGCAAAGGAAAGACTCGAGCGCCGTCTTCTGTTCCTCTTTTAGAGAAAAAGCCAAGTCTAACTCGTTCATTGTAGTGGCCAAAGCCGTTTCAAACAACTGGTGTTCATCCATAGCCATCTTGCAATGTTTACTGACTGATTCCGGACTTCGTCGTCACAGCGCTGTCGTCATCTGTTTAGCTCGGTTCTGGCCCGCTTATATCAGATACACCGATGTAATTGGTGCAGCTCAGTTTCATGGGCATAGGTAATGAGCATCATTACTGATTGTCAGAGTGACTTGCTAAGCAAATTCAAATTGGGCTCTCGTGAGAATTCATGATTTCCAGGGTACTTATTAATAGCATTTTAACCTAAACAAAGAAAAGCGTAAAATTTCCAGAAAGGTAAGTGTCGCTTTAAGGCTTTATTTTTAGATTAATGAATTCAGTGCCTTTAAAGACTTCTTAAGGATATGTGGGGACCCCAAAAGACATGTAATGACTATTCCATTCTTTCATAACTTCATTTCAGTTTCATTCAGCTTCCATTGACCTGCTTTGTCTCTGTCCTACCTCTCCTGTTGTTTCCACAGTAACAGGTCCAGCCTATGAGAACCTGGTGTCAGAGATCATGTCCATGGGTTACGAGCGGGAACAGGTAGTCGCTGCACTCAGAGCCAGTTACAACAACCCAGACCGAGCAGTGGAATATCTACTCATGGTGAGCATTTAATCTGTCTGTGTGGTTTATTCACAGCCCTGCCTGCCACTGCAATCTAGAGTGTGAAGTAAATGTTTCTGAACTACAGGGTATTCCAGCAGAGGCCAGTGATCTGCCACCTCAGGAGCCAGTTAGACAGAGTGCTCCATCCAACCCCCCCACCGCTGCTACACAAGAACCACGGCAGCCCCCAGCAGCTGCAACCAGTAAGAGCACACCTTTATCACCACTATCTATGCTCGTTTATTCATAGTGGCAACAGAGTCCAACTGCAGGGCTCACTCCTGCTGACCTCAGATCTGTTGGCCAGTGGGTTGAGTGGAGTCCCCTATCTCTGCTCTGGGGGTAGAAGATGCACATAGCCCAGGAACTACTGGGATGGAGTTTGCAGTGCCGAATGCAGCTAAACAGCACTCACTGCCTCTAGTATCAGTTTAAGAACAAAGGGCAGACTTCATTTGTAAACAAATGGAACACCGGCACTCATAGATTTCAGATATCGACAGCCTGATGATAATAATAATAGTAATGATAATAATAATAATAATAATAATAACTTTATTTATATAGCACAATTCATGCATAAAATGCAACACCAAGTGCTGAACATTAAAGTCAGTCACTTCAGTGATGATTTGATCTTCAAGCATTTTAAACATATATATTAATTTTAACCAGAAGTGTAAATACTTTGTTTTCTCACTTTGAGAAAAAAAAATGTGGTCGAACGTTGTTCTGTGTGCTCCAACACCACTAAACCCCTGCTCTTGCCTTACAAGGACTCAGTGCACAAACCTGCCCGTTAAGAGAACCTCTCACTCCAGCCTGTTGGAGTTTTTCTGAAAAGGTTGGTGTGCAGCCCTATTCTGTAAAGGATAAATGAGGTGCAGATGTTTCTCTGTATCACCCTTGAAGAGGACATACATCGAGAACTGGACAGAGCACTGAGAAACCCCCCCCCCCCCCCCCCCCCCACCCCCCCACCCCACACACACACATTTGAAGGCTCAATTATACTCCCTTTACATATGAAAATAGATAGGTCTGTTTTAAATGTTGTAAACGTCATTGCCCTCTATTTTCATGTGTCCTTTATAATGGCATAGATACAACCAACTCATGGAACAAGAGGGCAAAGTCAAAAGTTTCACACAATAGCAAACAAGGAGTAATATTGTACCTTTAAACGGAGGCAGTACTGTAGATGATGGTGGTTTGTAAGGCCATTATATGCATCCAGATATGTAGATGAAGAATCCTTTTCATTATATCACAGATTTATCATGTTCCGCCATTATTTAAATGTCTTTGTTGTCTCCTTCGGTCATATCATGCTTGAAGTATGCTACTCTGCCTCTTTGATCTTCGAGGGTGTTGCTCTCTTTCATCTGTGTCCACAAGCGTTCAGGAAACATGCAACAATATGGAAGAAATGAATGCAGAGAACGAACAGAAGACGTTGAGCATGAATGCCCTTAGAGTACTGTCACTGGTGGAAAGGCTGAACAGTTCCAGGGTTTAGGTACATGTCCATATGGGTTTCATACGATACTAAAGTTACTATACCAAAGGTTTTCAGTGGAAATGGGGCTTTAGTTCCTGAGCTCAGTTTGTGTGAGTCCTAGTACCTGGACCTATTTGGTTAAAAAATTACACTTTACCTTTTTTTTCGTAACAACCTATGGGTAAGAACGCCACACAGAAAGTGGAATTTTTAATCACCGCTGAGCAAATATAACCTAGTAGTTAATAAACAATAGTAAACTTACTGTCACTAATGTTAGAAAGATAACATGTCAGTAAGGAGTAGATTGTTGCACGAGGTGCTGTTGTTTTTGTCACCAACATTATGGTACCACTAATCTTATCCCAGTTAACCAAATGGGTTATGGATTTTTGAAGAGGAGGAACAAGGAAAAAAACACCAACATTAACAACACATAGACATATCTGGTTTTCAGTGTGTACATTTTAATTTTGTTTGTTTGTTAATTTTGTTATCAAGGTCTATCACACTAAACCAAAACAGTGGTAACCAACCCGTCCCCTCTACAGCAGGGCCTGTGTCTGGCAGCCAGCCTCCCTCTGCTGGTGGAGGCTCTGTCTCCACAGGGAACCCTCTGGAGTTCCTGAGGAACCAGCCTCAGTTCCAGCAGATGAGACAGATCATCCAGCAGAACCCGGCCCTCCTACCAGCCCTTCTGCAGCAGCTAGGCAGAGACAACCCACAGCTGCTGCAGGTACTACACCAGCACACTCACCACCCTACAGTGGCTTTCTGCCAGTGGTTAAAGTTTTTCTGTTAGTAAGATATTTCAAAACCTGTTAACAGAGCAGTAAGAGAATGAAGTCTCTGAGCCCAGGTAAAAGTGTTTTTTTATGTAGGTCTGGGAGTTTTTAAAGACTGTCTCAACAAGAAACTGTTTAAGGGGCACTTTTGTTTACGACGGTACATAATGCTAGCCTGGTGAAACCATCCTAATCTTGCGAGCTCATATTCTATTTCGCTCTGCAGATCAGTCTGGCCATGCAATCATAAAGGCGCATTCTGGCATCGGTTTAAGCTTACTGGGCCAATCACAATCGTTTATTACTTTGGGGCGGGTTATTTGAAATCATGTCATCAGAATAGGAGGGACAAGGAGCGGAGTGAATGCATTTCGTAAACAACCAACATAGCTACTGATTTTGAAACTGTGATGGTAAATGTGTTGAACGAACAGGAATGTACATTTTCTTTAAAAGCAGAGCAAACGGCTGCACTGAAAGCTTTTATTGAAAAGAAGGATGTGTTTGCCGTCCTTCCTACGGGGTTTGGTAAAAGTTTAATTTACCAACTGGCTCTGTTGATCGGGAAAAAGATGGGACTCAGTGAAAACCCAGTGGCTATTGTTGTTTCTCAGCTAGTTACTCTCATGAAGGAGCAGGTCAGGAAAACGACCAAGATGGGAATCACAGCCATGCAACTCAGAGTCCACAGTGAGGAGGAAATCCGCAAAGACGGCAACACTCTTTCCCAGACATCATCACAGCTCATCTCCGCTGCAGCTTGCTGGTCTGTTTACAGTTGTGTTGTGCTAGCCTACGTCACACATTTCGTTTACTTTGATTGGTTTTCCATCTTTCCAATTGCGTGGAGGGGCACTTTGAGTGACAGCCGTTGATACCACCCCTCAGGAATAGAGGAAATGTACAGTCCGACAGTCCAACGGCAGGCTAACATAATGCAGCTCCAGTGTGATTTCAGACAGCAAGCCGGCATCACTGAAGCAAAAGAGGCATGATAGGACTGACATGTAACACAACAGCATTGGCCTACAGTGTGACATGTAAAATATGTGCTGGCAGTGCTTTAAAAACAGTAACAATGGCATTAACGTGGCAATAACAATCATTTACCGTCTGTTATATGGCGCTGATCTCGTCCTCTCCTCGGAGGGTAAGGATCGCCTGAATCTCATTGTTTTTCCAATTTGTGAACATATTCAGCTGCTGTTCTTTTTCCTTGTGTTAGCTGCTAACTGGGACTGGCTACTTTTTTTAAATCTCCCATAGTTGGTTTCACATCACACTCGTGCTGCACATGATCCCATCCTGCCCACTGTCCCATTTATACAGGCATCATTTTGCTGTTGTTACTCCCTCTGACGCAGGCTTAAAGACGAGACAACTTTGTCCCTCATTCTGCGACTGTACCTTTATACAAAATGGTGAGGTGGGATAACTGGAAATTCCCGCCTTGAAGAGGCAGTGTAAAAGGGGTCAGGTTAAGAAATTCCTGGAAAAGTTATACATTGTTTTGGCTTTTTAAAATTAGTTCATAAAAAAAACAAAAAACACAAACATCCAATGTTGCTCAAAATACGGTCTTGTATTACTAATTTAAGATCTAGTGCTGCGCTGCTTGACTGTTGAAACGTCAGTGTCATTAGGTGATACCATAGATTGTGAAGATAAGTGTGATACACATAGACCTGACTGACATCGCATCATTGCCAAGGCTGAGCTCTTTTGGGTGATGAAATGCGCACGTGTCATATCAGGAGAGAAATAGAAAAATGCCAAAAAGCTGATGTGTAACAGGTTGATCAAGGCTTTCACACTGAGATGTCAAGCCACACGGGATACATAAATATTCACTGTCAGTGTGGTAAACCGCTGAATAATGCTGGTGTAAGTTACTACTGATGGATAGATAGATAAGCTTGAGTGGGAGGCTGCTGCAGTACAGTCATATAGTAGTAGCAATTACAGCCTAATTGTTATAAGCAATTTAAGCAATAAAAATGTAGACTGTTGTAAAAAGGAAACCAATTAGTTGTTCGTTAAGAGACCTGTCTTGTTGTCTCTTTTGTATATTGACGTTGCTCTTTAATAAAGCAAAAGTATTTCTTAGTTGATGGATTAATTGATAGAATACTCGATAATTTATTGACATTTACAGGATCTTTGGTTACTACAATAATTATGGAAAAATATCACACAAATGTCCTATAGGATAAAATGATGAAGTGATGATTTTTTATAATCAAAGGATCAAAGGTCAGCTTCACTGTGACATCATAATGTTCTGCAAAAAAAACTTTTCTGGCCATTACTCATCCTCATATCTCAGGAACAGGAGGGGAGACATTTGGTCAGATACTAAATTGATGACTCTAATCTTGAAACTGTGCTGATTGTATAGATCTTCTGTGCTGCGGGGGGGGGGGGGGGGGGGGGGGGGGGGGGGGGGGGGGGGGGGGGGGATCTGCATCTTGACTGGTTGGAAGAGGCATACAACTGCTAGGCGGTAATTTTAGTTGCTACTTCAGGAGCTATGTGAATTTAATCTGTATCTACAAAAGTGGCAGACATTTGAATCCAGTTAGAAATATTGTTATGAAAGCATCGCCACTGGATAAGAAAGCTATATTCTTCATGATATATCGATTAAATACAAATACATAACTAAGTATACATTTCTTTAAATTTTATTTTGCAATTGTCAGCAATGGAAATATGTTACAAATACATCTGACAAAATCATGGATGCCATTTTACCATGTCTAATGTAGACTATTTGATTGGGTGTAATTGTAATCCGCTGATCTGTGTCAGTTTTGCTTTTATGTCATTTTTATGTATTACTTGCAGCAAATCACCCAGCACCAGGAGCGTTTTGTGCAGATGCTGAATGAGCCACGAGGTGATGACACAGGAGGTGAGGGGGCTGAGGCCCAGGGGTCACCCCACACCAACTACATCCAGGTCACCCCACAGGAGAAGGAGGCCATTGAGAGGGTCAGTAACCACTGTCTTTATTAAGTCCAATTAAACTGCATTGTTTGTCTGGAAATTGCACAGCTTGTGCTGTGATGACGTATTTATGGTTTACCAAAGAACACAAACCTATGAAATAATATTTACCTTTCTTTTCAACATGTTGGATTCAACAAAACATTCTGTGCACACTTGTTTAAGTGTGCACTGAACCCACAAGCTGCCACACAGTGAGGAGACATTCACTGCAAAACAAGTCATGAATAATTTTGCTCTTGGCCATTTAAAATCATGACTCATGTTTTCTTATTTATCTACAATGAAATGATCTGATAATAATGCAAAACACAAACACTACAGATTTAAAGGGCTAGAAGCTACAACATCACTAAGACAGTTTCAGACAGTGAAGGTGAGTATTGATGTATCTGTATTTCTCCTATTTCGATGATAGTGTACGGTGCATAGTCATCGAGCAATGTGACACCTCGTTGTGCAATGAGTGAACTGACCATCTTAAAATCTGGTGTATTCTTCCAGCCCCAATTCCCCAAAAAAGTTCGGACGCTGTATAAAAACTGAATTCAGTGATTTACGATTTTTTCTTTTCATCCTTTATTTAACTGAATACAGTATAATGACAAGATATTTAATGTTCAAACTGCTAAACTTTATTGTTTCCTGTAAATATATACTCATTCTGAATTTGGTGGCTGCAACATGTTTCAGAAAAGTTGGGACAGGGGCAACAAAAGACTAGGAAAATTGTGGAATGCTCAAAAAACACCTGTTTAAAATATTCTTAAAATGAACAGATTAATTAGTGTCAGATGATAGTACCCTGATTGGGTATGACAGAGCCATCTGCGAAAGGCTAGGTTATTCACAAGGAGGGATGGTCACGGGGCGCCGGTGGCTTAGTGGTAGAGCAGGCGCCCCATATACAAGGCTGTTGCCGCAGCGGCCCAGCTTTGAATCCAGCCTGTGGCCCTTTGCTGCATGTTATCCCCCCTCTCTCTCTCTCCCCCTTCACGCTTATCTGTCCTGTCCATTAAAGGCAAAATGGCCAAAAATATATATTTTTTTTTTTTTTAAAAAAAAAGGAGGGATGGTCACTTTGTGAAGTTTCACATTTACAGTCCATAATATCATCAAAAGATTCAGAGAATCCAGAGAAATCTCTGCATGCATGAATGAATGAATACTTATTATTTCAGTTACATACATCTAGAGAAAAAATATTCTCTATTCTCTAATATTCCACACAAATGTTCTCACACTCAATAAACAAAAAGAGAATAGGCTGAAGCCCAAGGATTATTTTTGCCTATCCTATGTCAACCAAAGGATAACCCAGAGTATCAACAATACTAAAGAAATGAGAAATATAAATTAATAATTAAATACATTATACTCTTAATTATAATCCTGAGTTCTTTTACATTTTGATAATTTTATATTATAATCCATAATCATTTTACATTTTAAGGCTTTTTTAAAACTCAACTGAGAGCAACATAATTTCAAATCTGAGATTTGAAGATCTGCTTTAAAGGAAATGGCCACTTTAGAATGAAAATACAGACAGTACTTACTGACCCTAATGCCGACAAGAAGTCCAGTGTAATTTTTTAATCCACAAAACTCATTTGGGGTATTGGAGGATAACAGCTAGCCGGAATAATAGCTACACTTGAAGTGCATGGAACCCACATTTTGAAAATATAATAAAACTCTGCTAATGCATTTCAAAAACGTCAGAACGGCTCATCCATCATAATCCAAGTGCCCCAAAGCCATGGCATGCAAAATGGACTTGAAAAGACGTAATTTACTCCACTTTTATAGCATAATTTCTCACTGTGGTCAGTTAGCCTGCCCTGCAGGCTTGCTGTGTTTACATGGCAACTGGCACGAGACTCAAGAACTAGCACCACCACTAGCCATCAGCTAGTCTTTAGTTATTCTGCTAGGCCTTACAATTAATGGATAAAAACTCAAACTAAACATTGTATTTACAAAATCTGCAGTTTTCATATGATTATTAGATTTTAGCAAATCATTGATGAAGTCACCACAAACCTAATCTCTCAAGACAGATTCTGCAATTACATTGTAATGTAGGAAGAAAAAAAAAATCTTTTTTTTTTTTTTTTACCGATGGATTTCCAGATTGCCACAAATCAGAATCACCTTTATATGTTTTTCATATTACTCAGAAATCTTATTAAATTGATCAATACAGTGTTCTATAAATGCAACTAATTAATATGTTTTTGGATCTTTCAGCCTCAATTTCAATAGTTACACATTCCATCAAATTGTCAATAACAGTTGTCATATTACCAATAATTTTGCATTTAGGAGCAGACATTACAAACAGGGCAAAAGATCGCAGTGCGTGTTAATAGGTAATGTGAAGTGATGTTATGTAATGTGATGCGTTAATGCGCGTCTAATTATAGAAAATATAGAAACATTTTTATATTTAACAGTGTTCATATATTTAGTATAATATGTTATATCGTCTGATTCAGCTGTAATCTGATGGGGCCCAAATGCACTTGGCAGCAACTCAAAATAAAACACAAAGATAGGCCTATTGTACAGACTGGTGAAAATTTTGCTTCTACTTATGTCATTCTTGCAATATTAGGTTGAGGTTAATTGCATTGATGAACTGCTGAAATTACTTCCTATTCACATAATCTCCTTTATGCTCAGATGGAGCTATGATGGGGATGTAGGTCACATAAATGCAGCCAATTAGTCAATTCTTTGAATATATAAAAAGTGTTCATAAATCATTGCACAATGTATCAAGTAGATTAATTTCTTATAACAATGACAACCCTGCAGTTCTGTGGAATTCCTCTTTGATGGTCCTTTCTGATTTATGCCCACGGAAATCCACAAAAACAGGTATAAGTCTTTTCAGAGCCAGAGTCACTTTTCTACTGGCCCGACAAACAGTTGCCTCGCCAATGTGTTCAGTATCTCCGATGTTATAAAGAAAACTGCTCCTGCCTAAGAATCAAAGGGCAATGCATAAGATTTGCTCCAATGATCATGCAAATCCAGTTTGTGTAATATTTGATATATGTGGGTGGAACAGATTAGGATAAAAGATAGAATGTGAGGTGAAATTGTATCTTTCATATAGACACTCCTCCAGGAAGACATCCAAACAAGGTCTAATCACCATCTCCTTCCGCAACAGCCCCTTCATAAATTGTGCCTCAATGTCCATGACTTCATTCACTAAAGGACACGCAATGTTTCTCCTTCCTGCTACATGCTCAGCAGGTGATCAGCCTCAGGCTCAGATGAAGCAAACCTGTGAACCAGCAGATTTGCTTCACAGAGTGTGCTGCCATAGTAACTTTCTAAAATAGGGCCCTGATGTACCTTTCAGTCTTATCATTACTTTGCAGTTCCTTGTCTAGGTGTCCTGAATTCGTTTCTCCTTCTTCAGGATTCTTGCTTGTCATGCAATTTCAGCATTTCTCTTTGTGAGATGCTCATTAACTTATACACCTGTGCCCTTAAGCTTTTTTGCAAGCTTAAGTACTTCAATTTTATGTATTCTATACACAAATCAAATGATGATGTTTGGCCTGTTGTTTTGTTTCTGGGGTATGGTGTGGCAAGCAGCTATATTTTTACTGTCCAAAGGAATGTCTTTGTTACTGAAGAAGTTGATGACTTGCTGCTCAAGTGAGTGCGGTTCACCTCTTGGTGCATTCTCACCCTCCTTGTCACCTGCTGTGATCCGTGCATAGGTGCGATGGGGCGTCTCCAGTCCAGTTATCACTGGGTCATTTATTCTGTTCCAGATCTTCCACTGCTCTTTCAAGCTCTTCAATTTTCTTGTCTTTTTCTATAATCACAGCCTTTACTTGTCGCACTTCATCAATTAAATCCAGTAGGCCCATCTGTTGTTTTGCCACCTTGCTTAGTTCCTCTGACAGCAGCAGTAGCTCAGTCCATAGGGACTTGGGTTGGGAACCGGACGGTCACCTGTTCAAGGCCTGTCACCAAACCCCCCCACCGCTCTGAGCGCCTGTCATGGGCAGCCCCACTCTGACATCTCTCCACTTAGTGCATGTATAGGTCCTGTTTGTGCATGTGTGTGTTCGGACCTGTGTGTAATTGACAACAGAGTGAAAAAATTGAATTTCCCCTTGGGGATTAATAAAGTATATAAAATTAAATTAAAAAATAAATAAAATTAAAAATTAAATGATGGTCAGAGAAAACTTGCTTTGTTACAAAACAAAGTTTATCAGTTTGAACATTAAATATCTTGTCTTTGTACTGTATTCAATTGAATGTAGGTCAAAAAGGATTTTCAAATTATTGTATTCTGTTTATATTTATGTTTTACACAACATCCCAGCTTTTTTTTGGAATCAGGGTTGTGTATCCTGTTGTGATGTGTACATGTATATGTAAGCGTGTGTGCCCTGATTATATGTTTTGTTGCAGTGGACATAGAAACAAATTCCACATCGACTGTAAAGGCTGAGTAGGCAATGAATTCTTGAATCTTGACAGTAACTGTCTCAGACACAGCTGGGGTGATGTGTGTGTGTTTGTGTAACACTAATTTGTACGATGTGTTTCAGTTAAAAGCCCTGGGCTTTCCTGAAGGCTTAGTCATCCAGGCTTACTTCGCCTGCGAGAAGAATGAGAATCTAGCTGCTAACTTCCTGCTACAGCAAACATGGGATGATGAGTAACCAGACATCACCTGACACATCACCACCATTCAACAGAGGGCCGCAGAGTAGACGACAGCCCCATACAAGGTCCACCAGGGAGGAATGAGGACAGGAGAGAAAGAGGACATGTCTTTTCACGTCATGTGACTGTGGTCTGATGATGGGGTGTCATGGTGATGATGACGACAACATGCTGTTCAAAGTTAGTTGTGCTGCCTACCCTCCATTCAGCTGTGATGATCATTATAGCAGCTCAAACTGAGCTGCGCCTCACTGCTGCTATCATTACTGCTGCCGCTTGTGCCGAGTGATCACACTGAGAGAAGTCATGCCTGGAAACATGCCAACAGTCTGCATCACCTTCATAGGGCTTTGATTTACAGGGTTTCCTCTGCAGTCAGCTCTCAGACTCCCTTTAGAACATGGGTTTGTCTTAGACTGCTGTTCACATACAGTGTATACACTATGGAGTGTAAATATTTAGAATATATACATTACAAAATAATGTATGTTTGCAAATCCTCTGTGTTGGGTTTACCTGAAAATGTGATGCAAACTGTTGACTTTACTGTTTGAGAGCTAGCATTGCTTTATATTAAAGTTCAGGTCTGATCATTTAATTTATTCTGCTTCTTTTATCCTTGGTAAAAAAACAAAAACCAATCCCAAACACTCAAAATATTTCAGCCTCAAAAATAGCACAAAGTTAGGTAGTGTTTCGACCTTTCATTAATCATGCAGATCTGGTTCTGTGGTTTGATCTAAGACAATGACATCTGCAAGGTGACTGAAAAAAAATACTGCAGGAGTATGTGAAACTTTGCCACCTACTCCTGTCAGGAAAAAGAAAATTATGAAATGTTATGGATGGAGAGTCAAAATGTGAAGATAATAAACAAATGTATTAGCATTTAAGTCAATATTTTGTGAATGTCTCATAATTTTGACTTTGCAAGTCAAAATTTTAACTGACTGTTTGACTTACTCTCTCAAATTTGTTTTAGTGTCATTATTTTGACTAAAAATCTTGACTTGCTTTATGTTCATTTTGACTTAAGTCAGTATGTTACTTTAAGATGAACAGATTAATTAGTGTCAGATGATACTTACTGGATCTTTTTTTGACTTACCATGAATAAGTCAACATAAAACATTTGACATACAGCAACAATTTTTACTCAGTATCTTTTTATGACTTTGATTTTTTAAGTATTTTTATTTCAGTATCTTGACTCACCATAAGAATATATATTTATTTTTATTATTCTCAACTTTATTTCATTTTATTTGTGGCAGAAATAGGCTTCCCAAAAACTAATACATTCAGCGTTTGGTGAAAACTGTCACAAAACCCTGCACTCTATTTTAAATACACAATGAATTAGTTCTGCAGTCACAGTACATTATGACTACTTGGTATCAAGACTATGTGTGCTGTGATATTCTATTTTTTGGGACAAGAGGGCACACCCAGATGCAGCACTCAGCTTGAACTGTCATCATCTTCTTTCACTGTGAAGGGTTTGTTTGTTTGTTTAGTTATTTTGCAGAAGAAGGAATATGAAGGCTGATTATGAAGTGCCACATAGCATGCTTTGTGAGCTAAATATTTGACTTTTTAATTGTAAGAAAAGTTGTGTTCTTTCTTAATATTTCATTCGTGGGAATGATCAAACATAGTCCACTTCCTACTTTCAGACAATCTTTTTCTGTTGCATTTGTCTCATATCACATCTTCTATGCATCTCAAAGCTGTAAGAGTTTGAGCCATTGCTCCTTCATGCCTTATGGTTCTCAAAGACTTGAACGTTTTTAATTTTACAAATGGGGTTATAGTTTACAAAATAGTGTTTAAGATCTTTCACAGGTGAGTGTCCTAGGATTGGCGATCATCAACACAGTTTTAATTATTGATACATAAATTAATTAATTATTGATAATTAATCAGTTATTGTTTCAAAGGTGGACTAAAGGGAATTTGAATAAGTGCTAGAAGCCAAAACAAAGAAAAATATTTTTTCAGCATGTTCTTTGCTGTCTCGCCTTTTACTTCTCTTTATTGTGTTTGAGCTGGAAATGACTGGAAGTTTTGTATATTATTATTAGAAATGGGGTATACAAACTTTGGGGGGAAAAAAGGCACTTTAGTGTGACAAATGCTGTTCTTTAGCTGTGACGGGTTGTTGGTTGCATGAGATTGTTACAGAGTTATTTATAGCATGGCAGTGGGCTAGGAATGAAGAAACCACCAGTGTGGTGTCACTCTGGTCTCAGTTTGTCTGTTTGTTTTTTGGGTTTATAAAAAAAAATACTTCCAACTTTAAATATACCAGTTGAGGTTTTGCTGAATAGTTGTGAAAAACTTTTGTTAAAGCATTGTGTAAAATAAATGGCTTTTACAAAGTGGGTGAGACAAGGTGATGTTTCACTATGAATGATCTAAGTGCAAGCATGAATGTAAGCCTCACATATTTCACAGTTATGAACCCTCATCAGGTTAGCTTTAACCAATGGTGTAGACCGTAAGGGTAGGAATCACTAGAGGCCCCCAGATACAATATTATTATACTACGTCACGACGGCAGGAGGGAAGCCCTGAGGGACTGCTTCCAGACCACTGTGTGGGAGGTACTCAGCAACTCCCATGGCGAGGACATTGACAGACTCATATCATGCGTTACGGATTATATTAACTTCTGTGGGGAAAGCACCGTACCCACCAGGACTGTACGCTACTTCTCCAACATCAAACCATGGATTACTCCAAATATAAAAGCTCCCCTGAAGGAGAAGCAGAGAGTTTTTAACTCTGGAACTAAGGAGGAGCTGAAGGCTGTGCAGAAGGAGCTACGGAGAAACATCAGGCGGGGAAAGGAAGGATAAAAAAAGAAGATGAAGGAACAGCTGCAGCAGAGCGATGTCAGCGGAGTCTGGACAGGTCTGAAAACCATCTCAGGACACAAACAACCAGACTCCCAGGCCAGAGGTGACCAGAAGTGGGTGAATAATCTGAATCTGTCCTTCAATAGATTTGATCAGTCTGCCCCTCCCCTGGCCCAGACATCACTGCTGCAACCCCCCTCATCCTCACCTTCACCTTCCCCCCCACCTACACTCCTGGCACACTGTATCAACACCTCCCCCGGACATCTCACCACCCCCAACTCCTCCCCCCACCTCATCACCTCCACCCCCCAGCACACAGCCCCCCTGCTCCAGCTTGTCCTTCACTAAGATAAGATACATCTTTATTGATCCCACAACTGAGAAATTCCAGTGTTACAGCAGTCAAGGGTAAAGAGTCAAATTAAAGATTTCAATATTTAAAAACTTAAAAAACTAGGCATGCAGAAAAAAGTAGAGACGGCATCAGCTCCAGGCTCCTGAAGTCCTGCGCAGACCAACTGTGCGGCATAGTTGAAACTATCTTCAACCTGATCCTGAGGCTGGGGAGAGTACCACAGCTGTGGAAGACATCCTACGTGGTACCTGTGCCCAAGACTCCACACCCCAAGGTCTTACGATACGATACGATATACTTTATTGTCCCCGAAGAGAAATTTGTCTTTGACTTAAGTGCTGTGAACGTTGCCTGCTTCCATACAAAAAATCAACAAACAATAAAAACATATAACACATAAATACACAATACAGACAACAATACATCATCATTCAGCATTCCCTTCACCATGGCACTGTTGCTCAACCCTAACAGGCTATTTACTATTTAGTATAGTAATTGAGATAGGCACAAAGGAGTTTTTAAACCTATTCAGTTTGCATTTGGGGACTCTGTATCGTCTTCCAGACGGTAAAAGTTCATACTCAGGATAAAGGATGTGTGATGGGTCAGCTAAAACTCTCTGAGCCTGCACAAGAACAGACTGCTCAAAGGTGGCCTGTAGGCAAGAGTTGCCATTCCTTCCCATGACCTTCATGGCAGTCTGTACCAGACGAGAGTTTGGTCTTAAGCTGGACAGAGAGGTTACCATACCATGCTGTCATCCCGTACCTGATAATACTCTCTAATACAGCCTAGTAAAACAAAAACATAGCCTGAGCCGACGTAAAAATTAGTCTTTGCTGTAATCAAGAACACAGGTTGTCAATGTGGGTCTACCAGCTGAATTTGATATCTAGGAGGACACCTAGGTATTTGTAGGAGCTGATCTGACATGTTTTTGTCATGGATGGGGACAGGTGTGTGATCCCCCACCAAGGGATTAATAAAGTTCAATCTAATCTAATCTAATCAACGCGGGGAAATCTAAAGAGCTGGTGGTGGATTTCGGCAGGCGCAGACTCCTCCCCCCAACACCTGTGAACATCCAGGAAAAGGACATTGAGATGGTGACATCTTTTAAGTACCTGGGTGTTCATTTTAACAATAAACTGGACTGGACTAATCACATAACAGCACTATACAGAAAAGGCCAAAGCAGACTCTACCTGCCGAGGCGGCTCAGGTCTTTTGGAGTGCAGGGGGTGCTCCTGAAGACCTTCTTTGACACTGTGGTGGCATCAGCCATCTTCTACGAAGTAGTCTGCTAGGGCAGCAGCGTCTAGGCTGCAGATAGGAAGAGACTGGACAAGCTGATCAAGAAGGCCAGCTCTGTCCTGGGATGCTCTCTGGACTCTGTGCAGCCAAGCTGTCATCTCTGAGGACTAATGACTCCCACCCCCTGCAGGAGGAGATAAAAGCTCTGGAGAGCTCCTTCAGCGATAGACTGATTCACCCAAAGTGTGTGAAGGAACGTTGTCGCAGGTCCTTCCTGCTGCTGTCAGACTACACTGCTCACAATAAACTGCACCACACTTTAGGGACACTATGGACACTTTATAAGCACATTTCCTCAATATGTTAGGCAAGATTACTTTTAAATTTCAATCTTTTACAGTTTCAAAGTAACAAAAAAGGAAAAGGGCCTGAAGCGAAAGTTTGGGCACCCTGCATGGTCGGTACTTAGTAGTGCTCCCTTTGGTAAGTATCACAGATTCTAAACACTTTTTGTAACCAGATAAGAGTCTTTCAGTTCTTGTTAGGGTCCGGGCAGCTAAGCTGCCAGGACACTATTGTAATCCTACGTATTCTTCTTCTTTCTTCTTCCGAGGAAATCATACTTCCCATGAGTGAAAACTCACCAAACTTTGCACAAAGGTCCAGTCTCATGCCAGATGTCCTCAGCTGTAAACTCAAGCCAATAGTCCTGATGGTGGCGCTACAGCAAGTATGGGGTGCCGTTTGTAAAGTGGCTCACACTGAAAATAACATCAACATTTTGCCACATTCAGCTTCAAACAATGTTTAAAAAAGTGTTGTGAATTTTTTAACGTCACCTTTTACCACATTTACAGCAATATTTGTTAACTCAGAAATATATTAAATAGTTAAATCTAAATATTAAATGTGGCACCTAAATGCTAAATGTTAAATCTAAATCTAAATGTTAAATCTAAATCTAAATCTAAATGTTAAATCTAAATATTAAATCTAAATCTAAATGTTAAATCTAAATTCTAAATCTAAATCTAAATCTATATGTTAAATCTAAATGCTAAATCTAAATGTTAAATCTAAAAGCAGATGTCTTAGTTACAACATGATTGAGCTAACTGGAGTAGTTTCATCTCATATCCAACAACGGGAGGCTTTTAACAGATGACGTCCTGATGTTAGCTTTGCTGCTGCTGCAGCCACGTCGTGATTTCCCAAAACAGAATAAATACCACACATTGCAACACAAAACTGCTTTGCTAGCTCAATCATGTTGTAACTAAGACATCCGCTGGAAAAAAAAATATTTTTCACGGACCGTTTAAGAGTTAATGAGTCATTACAGACACCGCTAATGGGGCTAAGAGCTAACGGTTAGCCCCGCTAATCTACGATAACCATGTCATTAATTTCAGAACGTGATAGTAATGTTTGTTCAATCATTGTGTTTATAGACCTTATAAACATCAGATTAGTCTAAACGGTGATATAGTGACGTGAAAAATGTGAGATATTCATATATATATATATATATAGCTAAAGTCTGCTGGTTTTCTACCCGGAAGTATTTGTTAAGGCGATTCCCTCCGAAGGGACACTAACAACTCAAAGTAAACGTCAAATAAAATTTCTCCAAACATGTTTCCTGTTATTTTAGGTAGTTATTATCATGCTAGTGTATGTTCAAGTGTTAATTTCCCCCGATAAGTTGGTTTTAATTCGTTATTTGATTCTATAAATACAGTCTGACCTTGAGCTTTTATTTTGGTACTTCCGGTGACCGGCAGTGTGAATGTGCATATTAGCTAAATATTTCTTTTCACCCAGAACATTTAGATTTAACATTTAACATTTATATTTATATTTAGCATTTATATTTAACATTTAGATTTAGCATTTAGATTTAACATTTAGATTTAGCATTTAGATTTAGATTTAATATTTAGATTTAGATTTAGCATTTAGATTTAATATTTAGATTTAGCATTTAGATTTAACATTTAGATTTAATATTTAGATTTAACATTTAGATTTAGATTTAGATTTAATATTTAGATTTAAGTTAACAAATATTGCTGTAAATGTGGTAAAAGGTGACGTTAAAAAATTCACAACACTTTTTTAAACATTGTTTGAAGCTAAATGTGGCAAAATGTTGATGTTATTTTCAGCGTGAGCCACTTTACAAACGGCACCCCATAAGCAAGCGTCTAAAGTTCAAAACTTTGAAAATTCATAGCAAATCAACCATATGTGCTACAACTTAACAACTTTCATCAAACTGTAGCCCCAATACATTTAAACCTATTAAAAATTATTAAGTTCATCACTCTGTTTTTTTTCAAAAACTGTAAAACTTCTTAAACCTTTCTCCTCCCACAATTTTTGCTCAATTGACACCAAACTTGCTACAGAGCATAATTTTTCTCTTATTCTTCCTGCAAAAGGCTTCTAGTTCTGTGAGATTCTTGGGCTGTCTTGCATGTACCGCTCTTTTGAGGTTTATCCACAGACTTTTAATGATGTTTAGGTGGGGGAGACTGTGAGGGCCATGGCAAAACCTTCAGCTTGCGCCTCTTGAGGTAGTCCATTGTGGATTTCGAGGTGTGTTTAGGATCATTGTCCTGTTGAGAACACAGGAAAGGTTTTCTTCTGATGAGTCTCCCATGAAGGTCGTATTTGTTCAGGTGTTGCTGCACAGTGGAACAGTGCACCACCACTCCAGAATCTGCTAAATCTCTCTGCAGGTCTTTTGCAGTCAAACAGGGGTTTTGATTTGCCTTTTAAACAATCGAGCAGCTCTCTCAGACAGTCTTCTTGGTTGTCCAAACCTCAACTTGACCTCGACAGTTCCTGTTAACTGCAATTTCATAATTACATTACAAACTGAGGAAACAGCTACCTGAGAACACTTTGCTATCTTCTTATAGTCTTCTCCTGCTTTGTGGGCGTCGGCTATTTTAGTTTTCAAAGTGCTAGGCAGCTGTTTAGAGGAGCCCATGGCTGCTGATTGTTGGGACAAGGTTTCAGGAGTCAGAATATTTATAAAGCTTTGAAATTTGCATCACCTAGCCTTTCCTAATGATGACTGTGAACAGGACATAGCCCTAACAAGCTAATTATGGTCTGAGACCCTGGTAAAAGTTGTCTGAGAGCTCAAATGTCTCGGGGTGCCCAAACTTTTGCATGGTGCTCCTTTCCTTTCTTCAAAGTAAAATTGTACAAAACAAAAATAATACATTAATCGTGCTTAAATAATGAAAAGCATGTTTCATCTTTAACTTCATGCTTTTTGGAGATCAGTTTACCTTCTGCTCACTTATATATTCACAGTAAACTAAATTTTGACCAGGGGTGCCCAAACTTTTGCATGCTGCTGTACGGAGCTCTTTATTATCATTATTATTATTATTATTATTATTATTAATTATTATAGGTCTACAGCCTATATATTTAGATGAGGGGCTATTCATAAAACATTGAGAGCTGGAGCCTTAGACACCCTAAAAGGCCTAATGATGCCACTGGGTCATGATACAATATCATTATGATATAAAATGTTTTGTAATATGCTCAGTATTGCAATAATATACATTGTGATATATTGCAATGTATTACTCTTTTTTAACTGAAAATTAAGGGAAAACTTTATCATTATAGATAAAATATCTGCTTTTATCTGAAAAGATTAAGTTTTCAGTCTGTTCATTTCACTTCAGTCATTTTTATTGCAGTAACATGTGCATTCTGGACTGCAATTAATTTATTATTCTAGTGGGCTATCAAAAGTTTAATTTGTATTTGCAACATTACTAATTAATACAATAAAATATCCATACTTGGCGTATCATTGCCACGCAAAATATCGCGATACTATGCGTTTCCTTTTTTGTTTTTTTACCCCACGCTTAGTAGACACACTAACACTGTGCACCAGTGTTAATCATGCCTCCAAACATCAACGTTTTCTAAGTTACTTCTTAAAATGAAGTTTTTCCTATATTGTCAACTCTTGGAGCCTCTTTTGTTTTAAAAAAAAAAAAAAAAAAAATAAAAAGGCCACATACCAGCGCCAAACCTCAGGATTTGCAATTTGGCAGAATGATATAAACAGCAAAGTGGTTCCAGCACAACATGCAAATATTAAATATTTGTAAAATATTTGAGCCGAATTAAAGGGCTTATCTAGACGATAAATCAAAAGTTAGAAAAAATCCTCATAATTTCGCACACAACGTAGGCAACATAAAATTAGTCCTGCTTGAATAGGGTTTGGTCAGCTCTCTGTCTCGCGGAATGTGAGACACAGTTTGTCCGCTAAGGGGAGTGTTGCCTTGGAGAGGGAGGGTGGGTGCGTTCCCGCAGCAACAGGGAAGATGGCAGCTCTCACATCTCTCACCCAGGTAAAGATAAAGCAATTTACGACTCTACACTCCATCTTAAGACTAACCTAATTAATAGCATGACACCGTATGTATCATTCATTACATTATGTCATAATTTTACTTTTTAAAAAACATGAGCTGGTTTTAAAATGCAGCTAGAAATAAGGCAGTCAGCTGCTCGGATAAGGCCTATTGCAGTACCGTTAGGTAGCGGGCTTGTTACCCTCAGCTGGTGCTAGCAAGCCGCGTAGCTGTGTACCCACGACATAACAATCAACTCACTAATTATATATTTGAAGATAACAAGCACCGTGTACACTGTATATAAAGTAAAGAACCGGCCGACATGAGCACGCTTATTTAACAAAGCATCAGAAACTATGATAACGCTCAGTCCTTTAGCTAACAAACCTTAGCTAGCCTAGCCTTGATCCGGACCAGTAAGGATGGAGATAAACATGCTGGTGAGGCTAGAAGGCAGGCTATACAGGAGGCTAACCTCAGCTAACCAGGGCTAAGCGTTCACTAATGATGCTGATGTGAGTTGGCTCTCCTGTCTTTATGTTCACTGGTAATGCTGAAGCTGATTATCACCCACGGTTGCGTTTGCCTTCCTGTTGCGGTTGCGCAACAGTCATGTAATATGGCAATGCAGTTGGTTTGTGATATCTCTGTTATTGATTGGGAGCAGCAGGGGTTGGGCGCACTTTCAGCACAACCCAAATAAGCGTTAAACGTGTATTTGAATGAGGACATTACTGGCTTAGCGAGACATTTGAGTCAGTGTCCTTCACACAGGGCTTATTTTGGTGAATTATACAGGTCATTTTAAGTTTCATGTAAAATCAGAATACACTGCTAACGTGTAAACCTCACTTTTAAAGAGAAGTGCATCAAGTTGATTTATGGTGCAATAACATTCTCTCTGTCACAGTTGTCAAGTGGGAACCCTGTGTATGAGAACTTTTACAGACAGGTAAGATGATAAGCTACACTTAATAAGTTTTGTACCATTAAAGACAGTTCACATGTTTGAATGAGAGTTAATTATAAAATGGAAAGATGCAAATGTAAGTCATACAGTGAACTCAGACTGTGTGTGTTTGCTCCAAGGTGGACCCTGGGAATACAGGGAGAGTGGGACCAACAGAAGCTGCCTTGTTCTTAAAAAAGTCTGGACTCCCTGACATTACTTTGGGAAAGGTAGGTAGTGGTGAAAGTTACAGTGTTTTCTGTGTACCAGCTGATGGTGGTGTCAGTGTTACTCTACATATAACTGGAGAGGTATGTTTGTTTCATTGGTTGCAGTGTGTGAATCTTAATTGGTCTTACTGCAGTTACAGATTGTTAGTGGACAGAAGGTCAACCTCTGGTCTGTGGTTATGTCAGTCTGTGCTTTCCGTCAACATTGTTCAAAACTGTTGAGAAGGGTAAGCTTTGCAGAGCTCATAAGAGTATTAAAGGGGAATTTTGTTACTTCTTAAGTGGATATCCAATTAGTGTTGATGGTAAATTCAAGTAATAAATTCCATAGTGCATGATGTACTGACAGAGAAGCTGAGTTTTCCTTTTTTCAAAGCCATTATTGCAGTGCCTACATATTCAAGGAAGCATTACGCCGGAGCTCCTGACACACAACCCCTAAATACTCCCAAAACCTGCCAAGCACATGGAAGTGGGCATCCTAAACGTGGTTCTGTTTACAAACAGTAATGGCGTCTGAAATAGATACTTCACTGTGCGACTAGAACACTGGAGAAAATATAATAACGCTAGTTATAGTGTTATGACTTAAATGTCATAACACTATAGTGTTATCAACAGCAAGCATGCTTTATTGTATAGTGCCTGGAAGCTATGTATCACGACCCTTGCCAAAAGCTATTACTTGGTTGGTTGGGCAAAATAGCATTAGGTGACAAATATACTCACTCAATGATCATTGAGCCCTACTTGCCTTAGTTGTTTTTTCCAGTTTATCTTTGCGATACTGTAGAAGTTCTTCAGTGATTTTCCAACAGGCCACAGTTAGCCTAACAACCAGCGATTGCCGATATATTCAAGCACTTCATGCAAACCCAGCAGGAACAGAATAAAACTCACTAAAACCGTCATGGGTGGTTAGTTCATTGTTCCAAAAAATCTCCAACTCTGGTTTGGTCAAAATAAAACCCTTGATTCACAAAATAAGATGTGAAATGCTGTCAGCTGACAGCAGAGCAGCGGCTCTCAGCCAGGGTGGCAGAAGTGGACAAATAAGGAGTAAAATGATCAAGTTGTCTTTCATGTTATTTCATAAAGTGATAAAACAGAGTAATAGGAATTATAACAGAGTCAGTCTTATTTTAGCTGAAAGGTCAGAGCTTTGAACCCTGGAGTGTCCTCCGTAGGTCTGACAAAAAGAGCAAATTCAGTCACATGATATAATTAAAACGTAGAAGAGGGAGAGAAAAAGGGAGGCCTCCACTTAACTGCTAACTTCTATAAGAGCAGGAACAAAGCAAGCCGCTCGTACACAGATGAAATGTGTTCAAGGACACAGAGAAACAAAACTTCAACACAAGAGGCCAGCAGCCTCTCTAAACAGCAGGAAACATGTCTATATATGATAATGATAAATTTTGTGTCTACATTTAGTCAGTAGCCCCTTTTACATTGCCAGATTTTCAGCGAATGTTGGGCCGTTTTGCAGGCAAGCTGCGAGTGTTTAGACACACAGAGCCGTATCCGAGGTGCCCGATTTTCCGCCGCGTAGGGGTAAACATAATTGCAGAACCTTTTTGGTTTTAAAAGAAAGAGGCGCCCTTCTGCCACGGGAGGGGCTGTCGATGACTTGTGGGAGGAGCTGTTGATGACACCGCATGTGCAACCCACTGGTGGTGGACTAGCAGGAAACAGCTGATAGCAGGAATGAGCAGCTAGTAGCAAGAGGGAAACGCAAACCTGAAAGACACTGTAAAGATGAGCAACTGGGGAGACAAGGAATTGCGCGCCCTCCTTGCCCTCGCAAATGAAGAGGCCATTAACCGTCAAATGACGGGAACAGTGAAGGATGGGCCAACTTATGAGAGAATCGCCAAAGGACTGACCAGCTGTGGCTTCCCTCGGAGTACATCACCGTTTACGTCACACGCTGAGATACACGTTTTGTTAGTTGCTCACGCCCCTCATTGCCCCGAAAAAGGCACATTCTGTGTAAACAAAAGTAGGCAGGTGGCATTTCGCTGCACTCCCCGATTTTGTTTTTATACTGCCAGTGCTGAAAGAAGACTGATGGGGCTTTCCTGCAAATTTGCACAGTTCCTATTTAAAAAGGCCTTGTCAGTCAAAAAAAATGGACATTTACTCAGCCAGTCCTCAACATATTTGTCCAATGGAGTGTTTCTGGAATGATGTTTTTCTGTAGGCAGACATGGAAGTTAGCATCACCCTGGTACCCTCATCACAAAGCCTGTGATATTTTTGCATTGGATTTTGGATCATTGCCAGAAGTAAGCTCTGTGGCAAACAAATATTTCTGATACTTGCACATTTTGTTCAGCAAGATATTTGTCATAAATGAACACTGCTAAATGCAATCGCCACGAGTAAAAAGCTACCGTTAGGCTATAAACAAACTACACAATGGTTGCATGACTTCACATCGCCCTCAAAGCATGTCTGTGAGGCTGTGGTCGGCGTGATGACAATCTGTAGTCTCTTTTACCAGCTTGTTATCAGCAGCCATTTTCAAGGTAGATAAAAGCTTCAAAATTCACACTGGGGTATTTACTAATGTACTTCATGTCTGAGAACAAAATGTGAAAGACTCTTAAGCTTGTGTTAACCACAGACCTTATTTCAAGCACCCAAACAAAAACCCACTGACTAGAGATGAGGGAACTGGGAGTGCAAAAATGCTAACTCATTTCTTGGTTTTAGGACTTATCCTTGGGGCACTATATAGTCCAACTGTAGTCTCCAGCACATCTCTGTTGTCCAAGTGAGGAGTAAAACTTGAATGCATAGCAATGCATGCAAAGCTCTCTCTGGTTTGTAGTTGGTGACAGCATCCAACAAAAACTGCCCACTCATTCGGCAATACCGCTAATGCCATCCCAACCCAACAACAACACTGTTGCTATGGAAACGTTGTGCCTGCCTTTCGGTCTCCCCCCAGCTTGACCCAGTGAGTAAGTGGCTCAATTTTAAGCAGTAAAACCCTTTAGTATTATTGACTATGTTACCACTGTTAGCAGTGTCAGCACAGATATTGATGGTAACATAGTAAACGATACTAAAAGGGGTTTGCGGTTCAAAATGAAGCTGCTTACTCACTGGTGCGACCAAAGGGGAGACGGGAGGGTGGGCGCACTGTTTCCCCAGCAATGTGTTCTGCTATCAGGGTGGCATTACCACCTGTAATTTCCAAATGAGTGGCAGTGCTGGCTAGCTAATATTAGCTCTCCCCTGAACTGGGTGGTGTGCAGTGCTGAGCAGCCAAAAAAAACGGTGGAGACCAGAGTCTGGGTAGTAGGCATGTTTTCACATGTTAATGCAGCTAGCCGTCTGTCTGTCAGCAAAGCCAACAGAAAATAAAATGACAGGCAAAACATTTACATCACAAAACATTAAGATTTCATCACTTCTAAATGGATAGTGCTTTCAGATGCAGCGCTAGAGCTCACTGAATCAAAGGAGTGCCGGACTAAAAGGAAAGGCCTCTTGTATTTTGTGCCTTTTTAGGGTCTGGACAGTTAAGCTGCCAGGACACTATTGTAATCCTAGGTATTCTTCTTCTTTGTTCTTTCTTCTTCCGAGGAAATCATACTTCCCATGGGTGAAAACTCACCAAACTTTGCACAAAGGTCCAGTCTCATGCCAGATATCATCAGCTGTAAACTCAAGCCAATAGTCCTGATGGTGGCGCTACAGCAAGCGTCTAAAGTTCAAAACTTTGAAAATTCATAACAAATCAACCATATGTGCTACAACTTCACAACTTTCATCAAACTGTAGCCCCAATACTGAAGAAAATTATGAAGTTCATCACTCTGTTTTTTTCAAAAACTGTAAAACTTCTTAAACCTATCTCCTCCCACAATTTTTGCTCAATTGACACCAAACTTGCTACAGAGCATCTTCAGACTGTCCTACAAAAACTATGTTCCTCAGATTTTTGATTTATCAAAAATTGAGCCTACAGTGCATCAAAATGTTTGACTGTAAATGGTACTGTAATCATATATATGCAAATTCTTGCTAAATAAATCTTCAATGTTCATGAAAAAAGGACAAAATTCTAGAGTCATGGTAGATGATGTGTGGCAAATTTCAGAATTTTATCTCAAAAACTGAATTTTTGACAGCATTTTGAATTTTGCTCTAATGTGAACAATTGGAGTCAATGTAAAAATGGCAATTTTAAACATCTGTTTTTCACTTATGGAGCAAATCAATCATTGTTACAAACAAATTACCAACATCTCCATGCTGTCTAGATGCAATATGTGTATTTTCAGATTTTTGTCTTAATAACTGAATTTTTTACAGCCGTTTGAAATCTGCCTTTCCATGCACGGATGGCTGCTTTCCTACACAACAATGAATGGCTTACTCAATTTGTGAAGCCACTGTTGAGTTGCTACTTGCCAATTAGCTCAGAGCGGTAGATGTCCATCTTAGGTTCCAGAGGTTGCTCAGAATTGCCTAAAAATGCCCGGACCCGACCCATTGCTGCGCAGCAGCTATAATTTTTTGTTTGTTTCTTGAAATTTAAGTGGTTAGTTAATGGCTAATGGATGTTGGCTGTTTGACATCAAAATAAATATATATACAGTATATAGCACAGTTTTATACAGTCTCTCCTTGAAGGTATTTATACATTCAGGTACTTTATTTGTCATATAATGATCTTTACAGATTCTGCAAAAATTCCGTTCCATAATTACCATGTTTGTGATTTCTCATTACTTATTGGTTGGTTGATTCTTTCAGAGGTTATTCCATGGATTAATGAGATTTTAATTAGAGGGTTTGTGTTCAATGTATGACGTCTGGATAACTAGAGCAGACCTTCCAGGCATGTTTCCAGAGTGTATTGGCAGGTAGAAGGCAGCTCGCATCTCCCCCTCCTCACTGTTTACCTTTGGATGATATTACACATTATTATACATTTATATCTTAGTGAGTATCTTTTATGTTTGTGTTTTTTATGTCCTTGC